GCCCTCCTATCTGGGCATCGGCGGCGGCACTGCAGCAGCTGTCACTGCGGTCGGAGGAGGAGGCCCCGCAGCTACCACATACCCGCACAATTTAAAAATACGTTTCCTGCTCTCCGGGGTAAGCAGCCAGCCAAGACGCACTCTCTATCTGTCTAGTTGATGCCACCAATTGGCGCCCTTGTCGCCCAAGACGTGGCATCTGCCACTGCAACTGCAACCGAGCCCGAAGACACCTTTAACAGTTCACGTTCTATTTTGAGCGCTTTGGGGAGTTTTATCTGGCAGCTGATGAAAAAACTTTCAGAAATTTGCCATTCGCCATGTTGTTCACAGCATCTCTTGGCTCTTGGAAAACCTCCATGAATCCCATTTAGATTCTTTTCGAGCATATCCTGAACTTTTTCAAACCCACAAGATTGCCTTAAATAGGGATAACCAAAGTCCGGAATGCACTCATAAATATTGCCAGATCCCAAAAAATAAATAACTACATAATTCTATTCAAAATGAAAGTTAAATTAGAGTTGCAGTGATTTAGGGTTTTTCTATATTCTCGCTATTCTCCAGATTTATCAGGAATAACAACAGAAATATAAAATCAAATATCATCAAAATAAAACAGATTTCAAAATAGAGTTTTGAATATCCTTGAACTTAGAAACATCTTATTTTAAAAACGATTTTTAATCGATTTGTTGAATCGATTGCAAATTTGTCAGATACACCCTCTAATTGCCTATCGATTTGTTTAATCGATTGTTCCTTGGCCCGCCTCTAATTGCCTATCGATTAATCGTACTCCAAAGCTGAAAATCATTGTAATGAAATGGGGGAATTATATCATCATATGTAGGAATTTTTGGGTTCTCTTAAATAAAATTGTTCTCAGTTCATTCAAGTTCTATACTTAAGATCTTTAGTCAATGAAATGAAGTATGATATATAGTGAGAATATATAAATATATAAAGAGCATAAGCTCAAGACGCGATGGTTAAACAAGTAAGAGGTTCTAGTCGGCAGCTCCCGACTAGGGGATACCCTGAACCCTCTTCTTTCAACATCAAATGCATATATATATTCTATTTTAGAAGCTATATGTCAAGTTTGGTGACTCTAGCTCTTATTATTTACCAAAATTGCCCAAAAACAGTATATCGCTATCGATTTTTATCGATTGCTTGGAAACGAAGTAAGTTATCGATTATCGGAAACGAACTCGATCTGCGCAGGAACTAGGAGCATCTACATCTAAAATTTCATGTCATTTCATGTCTCTCGCTCTTATAGGTTCTGAGATCCTTGCGTTCATACATACGGACGAACGGACGGACGGACAGACAGACGGACATGGCTAGATCGACTCGGCTATTGATGCTGATCAAGAATATATATACTTTATGGGGTCGGAGAAGCTTCCTTCTGCCTGTTACATACATTTGGATTTCGCACAAATACAATATACCCTTATACCCATTTTTAATGGGTTCAGGGTATACAAATGGGATCTCAAATTGGGCTACATTTCATTTTGTCCGAAAATTGTTGGTAAAATAAAGGGCCAAAACACAGGAAACTCATTTCAAGAAGCAAACTATATTGATAGAAAGAAAATCATAAAGAGCTGTCGTTAGGATTGGAATCTTAAAGGAATTCTTTGAAAGATATTATTATTATTATAAACTTATAAGTTAGAAACTGGAACTGACTAGGAACTGTCCTCAACCATATTTAAGCCTGGAATTCGAATCGATATCTAAGTTATTAAAAGGAGCGTATTTTTAACAACTTTTTGTCAAAAAGTGTTTTGTTTCATTTAGGGCACACCGACAGCTAACATCCTTTGTGCAAAAGTCCTTCGAAGCAGTCCTCAATTTGCATAAGAAATGCGGCCCATTTAACATCCTGTTCGATTCGAGCAGATACACGGCGAAATATATCTTTGGCACTTAATCAATAATTCGGAGTCATGCAATCGTTTTTGCCACTTGCTGCACTTGTGTGCACCTGCCACCTGGGAGCAGCGGCACCTGCGGCACATGGCCAGGGCGAGGGCGTTCGGGAGGGGCGAGCGGGGCAACTTGCAATTGTAATGCTGGGAACAGGGCCAGTTGGCTTTGGCCAACTGCATCTAGTCCGATTATTGATTGGTGTCTGCGGCATGTGGCATGTAGCATGTGGCATGTGGCATTTAGGGCGCTCCTTCTTCTTCTTCTTCTTGTGGCCTACGTGACGCGCATGGGGCAAGCTCTTGAGCTCTCGGCGCAGACAGCTGTTCGTTCCTTAGCCCTTTCAGTTTTGCGCGCTCAAGGATAATGCCTGATGTATCCTGTGCCTGCAGGCTCTGCCTAGTTGACGACAGCTGCCCGTCTCCTGTGTGTGTGTGTGTGTGTGTAGCTACCCCGAGTTTATTGTGTGTTTCTGTTGCGGCTGTTGCTTCCTGGCAGCTGATTGATCCTGATCCTGCCTTCGATCTTGTTACAGCTGCCAGTTTTGTGTCCCGTCTTCATTTTCTGCTTCTTCTTCTTCTTCTTCTGGCTCGTCTTGTGGCCCAGGTATGCGGGCCGCTTGTTCCTTTATGCCCTGCTCCGAATCATGCGAATGTCTTGCAACATGATCTTTCTACACTAGTTTTTCTATTCATCTCAAACATAGTTTATTTATGCATATATATATATACATATTTATATCCTTGTAGAGGAAGGAGGAGACAGGATCTTCCTTTATCTTCCAGTTTTAAAGCTGTTTTATAGAGTACACATATATATATTGACATCAATCGGATCGGAGTACTTACGAGCTTAAATAATCTTTTCGCATATCCTTAAATCATTTTTCGTTCTTCCTCTTCTTGGTATAAATTGAATACCAGAATATTCTAATACCTGAAATTGCCAATATATGTATTTTCATTGGAATTAGTTTCCATTCTAGCCTTTTTTTTTAACGATTTCCCTTCCATTTGAAATGCTTGACAATCGCGAGGACAAGGTCCTGGCTTAGTTCCTTGGGTCTCGCATTGTTCCAATCAGTTCTTGTCGTTTATTTCAATTTTAGGTAATTCAACAAATTTGCTGTGCTCGAGGACAACCCTTTCAGGCAATGTTGTTTGTCCTGGATCCTGATCGGGCGAGTGTGTGAGAGAGAGAGAGAGAGAGAGAATCCCCTTTGAAAGCTGCTCAGACATACGACAATATAATATTTATAGTTGGTATTTTGTTTCCGGCTGTCGCATTTTATTGAATTCGCAGTAGGCAGAGGACCTAAAGCAACAAAGTCCAACAATTGAATTATGTGCGGAAGTACAGTGTGACCCATGCGAAATGCAAAGCACGCTATCGAAAAGGGGTTGACGCAATATTAGCTGGGCCAGACAGCAACAGGATAATCACTTTCAATAATGGCGGCCATTTTTGGTGGTCGCGAGCAGCTGCCGTCAATGGAATTCGTGGTAGATGACCATGAAAAGCGTTATTTGTCTTTTTCCTTGGCCAAATCTAATGAGGTGTGAGGTGTTTAACGGAAATTCGACACTTTTATCGCAGCAACAGGCTGGAACAGGCTGGCCTGGCAGGTATTCTGATTGGAATTTTGACATTGTGACCAGGTGGCAACACTGTGCATAGTTTCTGTCTACGTGACTACAACACAACAACAACAACAACAGCAATAATGACTGCTACTGAACCCCCACCACCCAAATAAACAACAGTGTGCTCACGCACACTGAGAGAAGAGAAGAGAGGGAGAGATTGAGCGAGAGAGAGGGCGCAAACAAAGGGAACAGTTCGAAAGGGAATGAGCGCGACACCGTGAGAGAATGGGAACGGCTGTTCTCAGCGTCTGTTTATTGTTTTGTGCATTAGCTGCAAGCAACATTCGCTGCTCGATCTAAAACTCTCGCACACACGCATACACATGTTCGTGTGTGTATGTGTGTGTGTACATATCGTTGCATCTGGCAGCATATGGGAAACCACAATAAAAAAAAAAAAAACTCGTCCATTGTTGCAGCACTTCTTGCCCTCGCCGAGTTTTGACAGCGGCTGCTGCTTTTTTCTGACTCTGACTCATTTTATTACATGCTGCTGCTGCTGCTGCTGCTGCTTTTACCGTTGACAACGACGTCAACGCAGCCGATAAGCTTTGAGTTGCATTCTGTACACACGTCCGTTTGCTGGCAGCTTTTATAATCTATATGGAACACATGCGGCGCCGCCGTGCCCCCTACTCAGTAAAAAGCAACAACACGAAAAGTGGTTGGCTGGTCTTTGCTTTGATTGTGGCGTCTGTTAACAGACCGCTGTTACTGTCCAATGTTAATGTTAATCTTGTGTTTTGATTCAGTTGTTTGTTGTTGTTGTTATGCTTTATGGCTGTAAACATGTGTGTTTACATGCCGCAATTTGCGGCCGGAAGTGTCGAGAAGATTCTTAATGACCACAAAAAAAAAAAAAAAAAAAAAAACACCAGCAAATGAGCAACATAAGCACAACAACAAAGGTTATCAAGAGATGCCAATGGAAGATTGCATTTGAGGAAGACAAAACTTGGAAACATACTGTACACATGCCAAAGCTATTAACATTGGAAATGTTTATAGAGAACAAATTTTGTTCTCTTTAATGTTTTATAGAAAAAGTTCGGCTTATTAGAGTATTCCATTCTACATTCTATTTATTCAGATTAGGTTTAACTTCAAATAACTGTTAACCACTTGATTTAGGGCATAAACTAGATGGATATAACCTGTCTTTAAACATATATTTTTAAAATTTAACTGCAAAAACTCATGCTAAGCTAGATTTTGTTATGATTGTCGCGATATGGCAACTCTTTTTTTGTGGTGAAATATAAACATGGAGACCGTTTATTTAAGTTTGTGTCGATTTCACAGTTAATCAGTCGCCACGCAAATAATTTATTAGAGAAACATTTAATTTATCAGTTTCATTAAACATTCAATAATATTATAATAATTTCATTTTGTAATCCTTTGCAGCAACGCACAGAGTTGAGTCCACCCACGCACCAAACATCCGCCACAGCTGAGGTGAATGCAACGTTAGCGAGTGCAACAAGTGCAACGATAGCGGCCAGTGGGACGACGATAGCGGCAACCACAACGAGTACATCGACCGCCGCAGCCGCAGCCAACAGCTCGAGCAGCAGTGCGAGCAGCCTAACGGGAGCAGCTGCCATTGGTGGTTACGCGAAAATAGAGGCAAGCAAAACGAGTAGCAGCAGCAGCAAGCATGGCAGCAGCAGCAGCAGCAGCAAGGACAGCAGCAATGCTGCCTCAAGTGGGGGAGCTGCCAGCAGCGGCAGCAGTGCACCCAGCTTGTATGTATCGGTGCCGTTGTCCACGGCCAATGTACCTGGCATCAATTTGCCCAACAGCAGCAGCAGCAGCGGCAGTGTCAGTGGTGAGTTTTGTTCAGCAAGCAGAATGTAGAGCGGCTGTAAATGAACTGTTAATCCTTAACAGAAACACACGCATCCGCACAACACAACCAGCCACAAGTCGCCGCACAGTCACCTCTCACCACATATGCAACAGCAACAGCAGCTGCAAGCGGCAACAGCAGTGCGGGCGCAGGAGGCTCTGCCTCCGTTATACAAAGCCAGAGCGGCAAGTCATCGCCCTCGCTGGGCGCTCTGGTGAGCAGCAGCGCCGGAACGGGCAACCTGACGGCCACGACGACGGAGAGCGGCAATTTGAAGATCAGCTTTGAGAAGCAAACGACCAGGGTGCAGCAGCTGCAGGAGCAGGAAGCTTCGCCGGCGCGCCGCAGCAGGTAAATATTCGAGGCTTGCGAATTCACCTCACTCGCAAAATTCAACATGCTGCGGTTAACAGCGTGCTGCCAGCTTACAGTTTATAATTATGTTATATACATATAGCAAATGTTAGTTTCGGTTCTGTTCTGTTCTGTTGTTTTGTTGCGTTATGTTGCCCACGTTGATTGATTTTCTTACAGTTTGATTTAATTCGTCGCGCAAATCAATCGCGTGGTGTGTTTCCCTATTTATTTCCTTGTGTTATTAACTAGTGTTGCACTCACCACACTCACCACACACACACACACTCACACAGACTCACACAGACTCACTTGATGCGCTCTCTAAAGAAAATGTTACTCTCTTCTTTCTCTTTCTCTCTCGTTTTGCTTTTGCCATCACCATGCAATTAACCCAACCACAATTTCAATAATTAACAAATACCAAATCCCCAAAAAACAAACTAACAACGACAACACGTAGATCGCGGTCTGGTGAGAGTGGTAGCCATCATCACCACCATCACCAGAATCAGCAAACTCACCAAACCCACCACAGTCACAACCAAACACCGCAACAACAGCCATCGCAAACGTCACAGCAGCAGCAGCAGCAGCAACATCAACACCAGCTGCCACAGCAGCAATCGCAATCGCTGCACTCCACCGCATCCTCCTCCACGTCCAACTCATCACTGACCACGCCCACGCCCACCAAGTCACAGTCACGTTCGGGTAAGAAGCGCGCTGCTGCGCTAAGCAAAACCGAGCCAGCTGCAGCCACAACAACAACAACAACAGCAGCAGCAGCAGCAACAACGGCAACTACAACAACTGCAGCTGCAGCTGCAGCAACAACAGTCGAGAAGCTGGCCCGAAATAGCAGCAGCAGTCGCCATAGTTCGCCACACTGTCGTGCCACGCCCACGCCGCCCCCAGCACAAACCTTACCGACGGCGATCGCGTCGCCGGTTGTGATGTTGCAGACCCTATCCTCCTCATCCATTGACTCGCCGCCGACTGTGGCAACAACGCGTAATACGCGCAACAACAACAACAGCAACAACAGCAACAGTCATGTGTCTGCCACCGAGCATGCCGGCAGCTCAACATCCTCCTCGTGCTCGTCCACATCCTCCATGTCCTCGGCCGGTGGCAATGCTGTGGTCAGTCTGTTAGACTCGCCCGTCAACATGTCCACACAGCCACAGCAACATGTTGCCTGTTACAATAGAAGTAGCACTAGCAACAATGCTGCCAAGCCGTTGAATAAGAAAATGTTGCGCGCACAGCAAACGCAACTGTATCAGCAGCAGCAACAACAACAACAACAACAACAACAACAACAGCAACATGTTAATCTTAGCAATGCACCAACCGCAAACGCCCCCTCACCCACAAACCTTAGCTCAGTCAGTAGTCAATTTGCGCACTTGCAACATCAGCAACAACAGCAGCAACAACAGCAGCAGCAACAGCTTAAGCAACATCAAGATTTAGAAATTTTGCAATTTACTAATATAAATACAAATGCTTCTTCCATGACGTCAACATCAACAACCACAACAACAACAACAACGACAACGACTAACAACAACACGAAATCAACAACGAAATGCAACAACAGGACACCTGATCTCAACACGACGACGAGCACCAGCACCAGCAGCAGCACCTCAACAACCAGCAGCAGCAGCACCTCGACAACAACCACCACCAGCAGCCTCTTGAGCATCAATCTGGGCAGCAACAACAACAATAACAACAACAGCAGCAACAACAACAACAATAGTGGGGGCCTCAAGTTCACGTACGAGGCGCAAACGTTAAGCACGCAGCTGGATGTGCCCATGTTGCCGGTGAGCGCCATCAAGGACTCGCCGCCCAGTTCGCCCGGCTCGGAAATTGGCGCCGCCTTGCATACGGCCGTCGCGTCGGCAATCAATGCTGCTGCTGCGCCCGTTGCTGCCGGCAATGTGCGCAAGCGCGGACGCAAGGCTAAGGATGCCACATTGGTCGCGGCTGCAGCGGCAGCGGCCACAGCAGCCGTGGCTGCCACCCAACAGGATCTCAAGGATGTGCGCATACTGCAAAACGGCATTGGCGCCGCCAGTGCGCCCACGCCTCCAGCCACGCCCGCCACGAGCATAACGAGCGCCGGCGTCTCTAGCGTCTCGGGCAGCAGCTCGATCATAGCGCACACGGCCACCCATATGCTGGGCAACCATGTGAATCCCAACAGCAGCGTGGCCCAGAAGCTATCGGAGCAGCTGCACATGGAGGTGCAGGATCATGCCATTTACACGCCCGACTCCATGAGCTCACAGTTCTCGGGCGTGCCGTTTCCTGGCAAGCAGGTAAACATCACATTTAGTCAACCACATCGGAAGCCTCCGACTAATCTCTGTCTCCTCCGATGCAGCGCAATGCCAGCACGACGTCCTCGAGCTGTGCGACGCCAGCACCAAATCCGCTGCAATCGATGTTCGGCGGCGGCGGCATCAATGGCAACATGCCCATACCGCAGAGTCTGGAACAGCTACTGGAGCGCCAGTGGGAGCAGGGCTCGCAGTTTCTCATGGAACAGGCCCAGCATTTTGACAGTGAGTATGGCTAATCCCCCAGACACAAGATTCGCCCAGTGCTTCGACTAAAGCTCTCACCCATTTGCATCCTTAGTTGCCTCGCTGCTTAACTGTCTGCATCAGCTGCAGAGCGAGAACTTGCGGCTGGAGGAGCATGTGACCAGTCTGATAGCGCGTCGCGATCATTTGCTGGCCGTGAATGCCCGCCTCCAGATTCCGCTCAACAGTGCGATCAACAATGCCAAAGCCGAGGCGCATGGTAAGTAGATGCCACTGCATCCACTCTCAGTCAGTTCTTGGTGTCGGCACATGCACTTGCTCTCCACAAATCCCATACCCACACACTCACACAGACACACACACAAACACAAACAGATGGAGGCGCCATTCACTCAGCTACTAACAGAATTTATGTAAATGTACAGATATGAAATACAACATTAACAGTCTCTGTTATGCTTGTAACGAGCTGCTTGGCGTTGCCAGACTACACACTAATGCTATGGCATTTTCGTATAATATCGCATTAATTATGTTAATTTATATTTAAGTGGGTACAAGTGATTCATGTACATACACACACACATAACAAAGCACATCTTTAACAATAAAACTATGGATGGTACAAAACAAATGGCTTAATTGTTAAATTGTACAAAGCATTTACACTTTCAATCAGTTTTCTATTAAATATCAATCACACATAAGTACTTAAAGCCAAAGCTTTAAGCTTCAATTAGGTATACACAACATTTAAGATTAATTTTTGATTAATATAACAAACAGAAACAAGAACTTACTTTTTTCTTTACTTAACCTATGATTAAAATTAAGTTATCTTTTAATGCACATACAAACCCGAATTCTTACCTTATTTTATTTGTTTTCAAAATGAATAAAATGTGTTTATAAACCAAAACAAAAACAAGCAAATTCTAAATTTATTTAATTTGTGTTTTTTCTTTGTTCAAATCTCTTTTGAAATCGTTTTTAAATTTTGTCTCACTGTAAGCCGAGTTGGGGCATGGCATGTACTAACAGGGGCGTCTACTGTTACGTTTAAGCCCTGAGCTTAACATTTTCATATGAATTTAACATCTCTGCTAACAGAAACGGTTGCTGTTACTGCTACTGCTTAATGGTGAAGCTTGTTGGGCATTTTCTACAGGCGCGTAATTTGTTGCATGCAACTGAGCTACACACAACACGCACACACGACAAACTAACAACATGCAATGGCATATGTAAATATAACAAATCGAACAACTTTTGTCATTTTCACGTTAGCCTCTAGCAACAGCAGCAGCAACAACAGCAATGCTGCCACAACAATTGCTGCAGCCGTTTCGCTGGCCACGACCGCTATAAACACAACAATACCGACAATGGCTAACAGTCGGGCCAGCAGCGCCAGCGGTGTCCTGGATTATCGTGGCAGCAGCAACAACAACAACAACAGCAGCAGCAGCAACAACAGTAACAGCAACAACAGCAGCAGCAATAACATAAGCAGCAATCCCGCATCATCAAATTCCAATCCAAGCACAACAACAGCGACGCCAATGTCCTCGGTTAGCAGCCTGCCCATGGGGAATTCAACTAGTTTGGGTCTAAGGTGAGTCTCTGACTGCCGAAATATATCGCAATATCATTGTTGAACCTCTCCATCAGACACGTTGCGACGTCTCATGCGTATAACAGCGCCGGCAGCAGTAACAGCAGCAGCAATGTTAACGCTAACAGCGCCAGCAACAACATGCACACGCATCAACAGCAGCAACAACACGCATCGTATTTACAAACGCAGCAACAGCAGCAGCAACAGCAGCAACAACAGCCACAGCATTTGCATCAAACGCATCATGCCAGTGCCGCAGTTGCTGCGCACATGTTGGGCGTGGGCATGAGCCTGGGCACCAGCAGTGCTGCCGCTGCGGCAATTGGACGAGGTGGGTCAGCTACAGCGGTTGCTGCAACCACAATAACAACAATAACAACAACAACAACAACAACAGCAGCAACAGCAGCAACAGCTACATTGACAACAACCTCCTCAGGCAGTTTGCAACATGGTGGGGCACACCACGCGCTTCCGCATTCGCATACGCACCACCCACACCACTATCCTAGCATTCACGTTCAGTTGGGTGCCGGCGGCGTTCACGTTGATGATTTGAGTAGCTCCTCCACCTCCTCCTACGCAGCGCAACATGCGCTCTACAGCACGCATCACCAGGTAGTGTGTGCGTGTGCGTGTGGGTGCATGTGTATGTGTATGTGTGTGTGTGTGCGCGCAAGTTTGAGCATCAGCAAATATTCGTTATTTCGATACACACACATACAATATATTCATTCAATGAGTGTTGTTTCATATTCGTGACTTTTATTTTTATGCCGCCCCATTATTCAACATTTAATGTACATAATAACTCACCATCGACATTCAACAACATTTCTATCAATTCCAAATCATGTGCTTTCTTTTGCTCCAAACTGCAACCGCCTTTCTCATTCCAATTATTTACTGCCACAGATAAACGCAAAATAATAATCGGTATTATAATCGTATATGGAAAATTGTTTGTTGTTTTTGTGTGCCAGCGCTGAAAAAGACAAAAAAAAAAAAAAAAAAAAAAAAGAAAACTGTTACTGTTAATGCTACCCGTTTACTTAACAGCTGCAGCCTGACGTTAATCAACATATGTTGTTCTGTTACAGTCCCAACTAAGGCGCGACGATAACCTCGCCAAATCTAGCTGAAAGTCATGTCGGGAGCAGCAGGCCCAGCAACCCATGAAGAAGAAGTCAACCCCGGCCAGACGTATCCGCCAGCCCGGCAATACCAGCCACATCAAATTGCCGCCCAGCACCAACAAGCCCCAGTCCCACACATACAAGAAGCTAAAACAAACGGCTGTTAACTTTCAGCAGCTGCGCGACAACCAAGAAGACGATGTAAGCACACAGAAACACCCCAGTTATATTTTGCTATTGAATAACTTGGCATTCTCTATTATAGCTCAGCAGCAGCACCAGCAGCTCCTCCACCTTTTCATCGTCCTCGCAGCAGCATTCGTCGGTCGACTACGAGGCGGAGGACGAGAACGAGGACAGGCAGCGACAGAGGCGTCACAAAGATGAGAACGACAGCCTCATACATGTGCAGAACTTTCTGAAATGCTTTGGTGCCAATGCCTATGCAGGCGCCACAGTGCGAGGCACAGCCTCAACAGCGTCAACTGCGTCAATGGGCACTGTAAACACGCCAAAGGCGGCCACAACCTCAAATACAGAGCTGCGCAATTGGCGTCGCACTTATCGCTCAACAACAACAGTTGCAGGTAACACAACAGCAACAGCAACAATATCCTCCTTGCAACAATCAACAGCAGCAACCACAACAACAACAACAGCAGCAACAGCACAAACTCAGTTCACCAACTGCAAGCCGCAAAAATTTCAAATAAATACAAAATTTTTACGTAAGCCGCGTAACAAATTGATGAAAATGTTGCCGACAACAACAGCAACAGCAACAACAACAACAACAACAACGATACAGCAGCAACAAATAGAACAAGAGCAAACGCAGCTATTTATTGATGATTCCAACGCCAAATTCAGAGACTTTTCAATTGACTCGCTTTTGAATAAGTAAAACGTAACACAATTAACAATTAACAATTAGCCCTATTATTTATAGCCTAATTCTTCACACAGCCACCCGCAAACCGCGTTCCTACAATGCCCCCCGCACTATTATGTATATTTATTTTTGTTTAGCCAATCGTACAGGATGTGACACATTAACATACAAATAGAATATATATATATATATATAAATATATTATTAAGTTGTTTATTTATTACATATATTTGTACAACCAATGGCGCAATTCATAAGTAGCATTAGCAGGCGTAAGCATACATATGTACATATACGATTACTTAATTACAAGTTAATAAACCATAACAATGATAGAATTTAAGCTATGACTACTTTCGAGAACAATTTGACTTAGAGATACCCATCCGGGAGTCCATCATTTCTTGCCAGGAGGTGGCAACGGAGACTGTAGAGCTTCGCGCACACGCAGCAGCATTTCCTGGCGTACGACATCGGGCACCAAAGCACGAGCCTGGCTTAAAGGAATGTACATACGAATTGTTAAATGTGCAACACGGGAATGGACATTAACTCACATTTGGTATGATCATTGCGGCAAGCTGGTCATGCGTAATATTGGCCACTCCACGTTCCTCCAAGGTGTTGCGTATCAGTTGCTCAATTTCCTTGCGCCAGCCACAGTCAATTAGGCGCTTCTCTAGCAAATCCTTGAGTGCCATGGTGTCTCCAGTGTTCAGCGTGGCTTTGTCTACAGCCGCAGAATCGGTGCCGATGCCCGTCTCCTTGCTGTTTTCCATTATACAATTTTTTGAACTTGGCTCGTTATACTTGTTGCCTATCAAATAATAAGAAATGCTTGTGTTTAAAATCGGCTTATTCAAAGCCTACTTAAAGGAATCGATACTTTAGTAAGACTCAAGTACTCATATCGCATTTATCGGTTATCGACCGACCACCACAGCAGCGAAACATACTGAGCATTTACAGGTATTTAGAGTTTGTGTATAAATAAAAGACATCGATGTCGTGAGTTATGATTTCTACGAGTTAAATACGCTTGCGCTTTGTAGAAATGCAGCTACCCCATATTCACTCAACAACAAAACGCACAACAGAAACGCCAACCGAGTATTTCGAATCACCAAACCACTTACATTGAATTTTCTAAGTATTCGAATGTCTCATTTGGTGGTGGAAAACTCTCGGCCCACTCGTCGTCAACATTCGTACTATTCTATAAAAGAGGCCAAACATTTCGAACGAATGCAAGTGAAATGGACCTGCTTGAGATTAAAAGCGAAATGAGCTACCACGAGCAGGTATATACATATTTATTTTAAAAGCCAACACATTTTTTTAATTATTAATTTGATTTACAGAATTCGGAATCCGAATGCACTTCGCCTCTAGACGGAACTACAAGTGCCAATAATTATGGTCATATTTCAAATTTCAGGAGGAAAATAGTAAATGGCCAAATTAAACTTAGGGAAAAACGCGGTCGCAGTAAGGTTTGGAATATTTTTGCCCTAATGATTGATGAAAATGGCGAGAAAATTGAAAATGTTGTGGCCTGCCGAAACTGTTTCAACGTCTACAAATACTCGGCCTGTACCTCGAATCTGGTCAAGCACAAATGCTACATCAACTCCGAGGCAAAAGAGCATGGTGTCCGCAGCTCCCAAGGTGTGGAAGTAGACAGTGAAACCCTAGGCAGACTAAACGATGCGGCCGCCCAGTGGCTGGTGACAAATTGTCGCTCCTGGACAATACTTGAGGACTCGGGCCTGAAAAATGTTGCTCGCATCTTTCTCTCAATCGGTGCCAACTTCGGTGAAAATGGCAACCTAGACGCTCTAATGCCAAGCCCAGCAACCATAGCATGCAATATATCCGACCTGTACGAATCCCAGCGCCAAACTATTGCTGCGGAACTGCACACGGCTAAGGACATCGGATACAGCATAACATCGTCTATCTGGATGGACAACTACCTGAAACAACCTGTTGCAGCCGTAACCGTGCACTATATCCAGAAATCTGCGATGATCAGTCGCTTGCTCGCCGTGTCCCCATTGAACAGGGATTCAAGGAAAGGTAATGCCAGGAATCTCCACAAAATTAAACTCTTGCAAGTCCTTGGTAAATTCTATTAAGTCTGGGCACAGCTTGAACTCATTTGTTAAAGCAT